GGCTTCTGACCATCTGGTAAAACGGTCAACACATTTACGAATGTACACATATCCGCGTGACCGGGGCAAGAGACCTACCAGTTCTAAGTGTACATGCGAGAACCAAGAGTCCGGGGTGGGAATTTAACCAAAAGTACTGCAGGTGTGACGATGTATTTTTGAGCGCCAGCATTGGAGGCAGACGCGAGCCCAGGTATGGACATCAATTTTACGCGTAGCTAAACGAAACATTCGGTGACCAGTTTCAGAGATGCGCGGATGCCGGTATGTGAGAGTGAGTGCAATGCGTCAAAGACTGTGCGTCTGAAGGAGACTGGCACGACGGGTTTAGGACAACCTATGACGTTTCACAGAGAAATGTTATTTCCGTGTTTTTGAGAGGAACAGGTTGCACATGCAGCGAAATTGACTGCAGAGTGCGTTGTATGTCTTCATCTTGAACCTGAGCCGGTGCCATGGCAGCGAGGTCGACGATAGTAAAGACTGGAGAGTGAGGTTGACGCGTAAGATAGCGTCCGCGACGGGATTGTCGGCACCTGAGACATGACGTATGTTAGCAATGAAACTGCGTGACAAAGTCTAGGTGTCTTGTTTCCCGTGGCGAATATTAGTCACAAACAGAGTTGAAGACAAATATGAGGGCATCGTGGTAAGTGTAGACCGTGAAAGCACAGCCATCGAATGTGTGCAGGAAGTGACGAATGGCTAAGTAACTGGTGAGCGGTTCTCTGTCAAACTTGCTGTAGCGGGATTCTGCTGGCTGCAGGCGCTAGGAGAATAACGTAAGGGGTTGCCAATGCCCACCAACGTGTTGTTGGAGGACGGCTCCTACCGCAGACGTATGAGGTGCAGTCGATTTGGAATATGAGAGGAGGGCTATATTGAAGATAGCAGTATTGAGCTCGGCAAAGGCTGTCTGTGATGTGTCAGGGAAAGAGAACTTAAGTTCATTCCATCTGTGCAGGTCAGTCAAAGACTGCATGAGCTGAGCGCAGCGCGGAATGGTGCTTTGGATGGTATTTGACCAAAGCACCATCGACGGAGGTGCTCGAACGAAGTCTGAGTTGGGAAGTCCTCAAATGCCTGGATCTTATCAGGAAGGACTTCGATATTAGAAGACGAAACTGGGTGGTCCAGGAATTCTACCGTCGGTTTGCCGAGTTCGCACTTAGTCGGGTTAACTGTGACACCTTGTTGGGTCAAGCGGTGAATGAGTTCGAAGATGCGCGAGGTGCTTTTGTTCCGATGAACTGGCTACTCAAATATCACCAAGGTAGAAATAACGCAGCTCAGGCCACGATTGACATCGAGGATGAAGCGTTGCAAGGTTTGTGCGGCGCTGCACAGTCCAACTGGAATTCTTAAAAATTCAAACAGGCCGAAAGGAGTGATAACGGCTGTTTTAGGAATGTCGTTTCCTTCAACAGGTAACTGGTGATAGGTGCGAACCAGATCGATCTTGCTAACAATCCTCTTATCTGTGAAGCATGCAGTAAGGTGTCATATGCGTGGGATGGGACATATATCTGGGACGGTTAGCGATTGAGTGAGGCAATCACCGCAAGGGCGTTAGTCACCAGGTTTCTTGGAGACAATCTGCAGTGTTGATGACCAGGGGGTGTCGGAAGGACGGATTATTAGTAGTTCTATCATGTGATCAAACCCCACCCTATTTACCTTAAGTTTCTCGGGTGATAGTCTGCTTTGACGGCATGAGACCGAGAGTCCATTCGTCCATATGTGGTGTGTGACTTGGGATGCCACGGGCAAAACTGCATCCATTGGCTGGACGTGTTTGGAATACTGGTCAAAGAGGTCAGTGTAGCCTGGTGAGGTCTGGGGAAAGGCGTATACCGGTGTTATAGGGCAATGTAGGGACAAAGGATGTCCAGCGGAACGTGCGCCGAAGACCTAGGTCCCGGGTAAGCGACCGATGGGTGTAGGCGTGCCATTGCGGTACCTATTCTTGTCTACGAAGAAGAGATAGGCGCACCAGGAATAGGGGAACTGACACTGAGTTCCGCCCTGGTATTAACTAGGGACTAGGTCTCGGTATCATAATCCCTAAGGTAGATGGGACGACTTTGGTCTTTACTGACACCGTTAGTCGCCATTACGCGCCGGTTTGAAAGCTTCCCTGCTTTTCGGCGAAGGAACTGCATGGTTGCTCGCACTTACGGAATTTGTTAGCAAATGTGAGTGGTGAAAGCAAAAGCCTGCATTGTTACGCTTCGTGCGACGGGGTGATGACCTAGAGCGGCTGCGCTGCTTACGATCTAGGGAATGTTTATCGACGGTGTTGTAGTGACGTTATTTGCAATGATAAAGCGTCGATTGCTGACGGCTCACTGGTCGCGAATGTCGCTGAGGCTGCGACGGGGCTAAGTCGGATGAATATACTAAATTCCTTCTTTGGCTGCTGTCCTTCGATGACACGGTCTGCTAGTTCTGCAACTGCTGCGAGAGGCAGGGCACTTGCAACGACGAGGATGGTCTGTATGTTTTCTGGCAGACTTTTCTTCCACATTTCGCGGAGAACCCAGGCGTTCATGCTAGATGTGCCTAGGAGCTGTTGCATGTGTCGCAACAAGGCTGAAGATATCCTGTCCCCTAGATGCAGATCCCTAAATAGTTGCTGCAGTCGGACCTTGTCAGAGGGCGGGATTCGTTGGATGATCGCCTGCATTAAATTCTCACATTTGCATCGGGAGTGTGGCAAGCATTGATGTCTCTCGATTGGGGGATACCCTCAGATTTTTAGCATTATCAGAAGAAATACTACAATTGTAATGGTTGGATTCTAAATGCTCAAACCACAAAAACTTTACGTTCTTCCACAAAGTGAAAATGTTATCTCCATGTCACTAACCACGTACGTAGATGCTTTATCATCATGACTATTCATCGTGGGAAAATGAAAAGTAAATGCGGCAGGTATGAAAACAAAACGATAGTGAGTAACCAATCAAAACTCAACTGGAACGAGCTCACCATGACGAAAATTCAAAATGGCAGACAGAGTTTTCTGGACCGGGGTCACCAATGGTTGGTTGGAGCCTGGGATATTAGTTGCCAATCAGTCACACATAAGAGGCGTGTCAATTAGCGGACAGTATAGAAGTTGGTGGTGACTGAACCCAACGTGTATTGTGCAGAATGCAAAAATAGGAAGCGAAGCAAACAGAGCGATAAAGGATGCAGAAAGTTTCTCACCAAAACGATTTGCGTCAACGGAAGTGTCGTCAGGCAAAGAAGTGGACTTCTTGAAGGTTAAAACAAAAGTTACATCGAATGTTGCAAAATACTGAAAGGACGTGTTTTCCAGTACACTAAGATATCCGTAGAACTACACTATTTCGAGTGGGTGGAGAAGAACTAAAATAATCTAATGTGCTGGCGAAATTCTTGCATCACCGGCCACCGGATGAGGTTTTTCCTTATAAACAGTAAATATGCAATATCCTAGTAATATTTTGTGATTTCAAAAAATGGCAAGCGTGTGTATATTTGTTGGCAGCTAATAGGTTTTGCACAGCTGTCTTATTTTGACTGAAATAATAAAATTATTCTCAACAGTTTGACATACCGGGAGGGTACCATAGGAAAATATTGTTAAGCGCAAGCACCCAAACATGTCGACTCTGTTGTCATTTTGAAACATTTGGAGAAATTGTGGTCGTTTCCCTTCTGTGGTTTGCAAGTTCATAGATCAGTGTAAGCCGCCATATTCTTCATTATATAACTGATAACCTAACTGCCCCAAGAACAAATACCGAGAACTAAATTGAGATAATTATAAGCGTTTTCCGAATTCAGTTTAAGGAAGTAGTTATTAAATCTCAAATTAATTCGAACTTTTTCAATTGTAATTTTGAGTTTTTTAAGCTAATGTCGCTTTGGCGGCTATGATTTTAATCACTAACCAGGCAGCATTTTTTCATATTAATTAACACAAACGTTACGAGTTGATCCATTTGTCATCCTTGGTTGCTGTGATGCCAAACAACAAGCGACTGACAGCTTCGAATGCATCATGTCAACCATTCGCTTCTCTCATTCCTCTGATTTTTACGCCAGTCCATTGCTAGGTTTAAGTGGTTAACGCAGAGTAATAAGCATGCCTGATAGAGCCGAAATGGATCATCGAAAATAGGTCTCATTTTAGCGATTTTACAGTGCTAATTTTTGAGTCGAACACTCAGAATGCGATAATGGGAAAAATGCATTCCTTAGAAATGGAGGCTAGAACGTCTTTCTGCTTTTTAACCGTAACTTATGATTTTAATGGATCAGATTTTAAGACGCCTGCGATATTTTGAAAAAGAGTAATTGGTAGTTGCTTAGTAGCCACGTCTTCAGACACCTATATTACTTCAGCTTCAGTTGCGAAGTTTGGTGTTGCGTCAACATATCTTGGTAGATTCGCATTATACTCGTAATATCCCAAGTTCTTCCTTGAGTAAAAAAGAAATGCAATGTAGCATCCGTTTTGTTTCTGAACCGAAATGCCTGGATAATCATATTGGATTTTGTGTATATTTTTTATGTACATACTAAGCAAGAGAAATTTGGACTACAATCAAATTGTTATACGGCAGTACATCTCTTGATCAAGAAACATGTACCCAAACTAAAATATCTAGGAACCACCTAACTGAAAACTCTCATTTATGGTATATTCTAATCTTTCTTGTAAAACTAAGACATAGAATGTAGTTTGGGTCCGGAAATAAAACAAAAGCTAACCAGTATGCACTGTTTTCAGCATACACCTAATATATTTTGCTAAATTTTAGGAACTTTTGTTTGAAGATTATCTAAAACTAAACAGGGCGCATACTGAATTGAGAATTGCTAGGATAAAAGTGGAAAGTAGTATCTGGTTATTGGTCATGCCGTGTTATTTTGGTCCACTTAAACTGAATAAGAGGTTGCTTTTCATTAGTTCCCTCGTGGGCGATCGGCTCTGCAGTTTAAGTTCCTGAGATTTGTTCGTTCAGCAAGCTTTAATTACGAACGGGGGGGGGGGGGGGGGGGGGGGGGGGGGGGGGGGGGGGGGGGGGGGGGGGGGGGGGGGGGGGGGGGGGTGGGTTCTTACTGCTATTTCTTTAAATTTGACCCCCTCGATTGACGTCAATAACCAAGACTTAGGTTTGTGCCTGACAGTGTTGTTCATGATTGTGTGGCTGTTGAACGGTTTCGCTGAACTTAGCTAACTTTATATTGCAAGAACGTTTCGTCATCCATTTGCGACGAGGTGAGCATCATCAGTGCGTAGTTGAGCTGAGGCGATACAATAGGCGTAGCTACTCTGCGCTATTGCAGCGCGCATCTCAAAGCTATGCACTGATGATGTCACCTTTTGGTTGGTGATAAATACGTTTGTATCCCGCAAAATTGGCCAAGGCTCGGGGTCGAACATTATTTTTTAGTTTCAACAAGTCAACGACTAGTGTTGTTTAAGAGGTTTTCAGTCTGTCTGAGAGCAAAATAGGCTGCTCTTAATTTTCCTTTACACAGTAGTCTTAGTTGAGCATCCGAAATATTGTACTTAAATTATAATATTTATTCAGCCGGCTTCTGAGCTCTGTGGGCCTAGGGGGGGGGGGGGGGGGGGGGGGGGGGGGGGGGGGGGGGGGGGGGGGGGGGGGGGGGGGGGGGGGGGGGGGGGGGGGGGGGGGGGGGGGGGGGGGGGGGGGGGGGGGGGGGGGGGGGGGGTTTTTGGGGGGGTTTTTGGTCGAATCAACAGATATGACCCTGGCTGAAACGGCACATACACCGACGATCCCAAGTGTCTGACGTTGTTTGCATGGCTTTGACGTTTCAGTTAAATGGACGCGTCTCATCAACATAAATACAATATATTTGGGGGGGGGGGGGGGGGGGGGGGGGGGGGGGGGGGGGGGGGGGGGGGGGGGGGGGGGGGGGGGGGGGGGGGGGGGTTAATGTATATATAATAATATATAGAATTTGTATGTGTGAAGTAATACAAAGATTAAATATTAAAATCATTGTCCGGGAGAAAGTTGCGCATCTTTCTTCCGGGCAACAGAAATAATCTGAGGGGTCTATTAAACATGGTCTAGCTCAAATTAATATTGTTCCGTGCGTATGAAGCTGTAAGCCTCTCGACCTGCCAGGCGCCCTATGACTTAGTGCGGGTCTTGAGGTACCAAATTGGCTGATAGGTCGATCGGGCTATACACGCACACCTACACACCTGAACAAGATGACTGGCTAAGTACGCATCGGAACAAATTTAATTGAGTAGACTGCCATTGTTCGAAGTGCCGCCGCTCTAGCTTATTTCTGTTGCCCAAGAGGAACAACTTTGGCGGCGGGAAATTGTTTATACCGTGTTTGTCGCGCTTTGCATCTTCCACGCATATTAGCTTACCAATCAGTATAGACTGTAAGCATAAAAATCTCGTTTTGCGTAAATTAAACGCCATTATCGACCTTTTTCCATCGTTCTTTGAGTTTAGGATATTTATTGCGAAAGCTATGTAACAACTAAGGCCTAATTAGTGAATGAAATCCAGTCGCACTGAGTGATGAAGAAGGATATAAATTGAAGCAGCCTAATATGAGGACTAAAGTATAAGATAGAGAGAATACAATTCATAATTATTTTCATTTTTCGGCAGATAGATAAAAGCAAGTGAGTGTAAACGGTGATTGATACATTGTGGATGAATTCCTCACCTGAGTATGAGTGTGGTATTGGTAACATGGTATTTCTGTCTTGCTATCGCCATCTACTTCGCTGTTTTGCGACAAACGTTTACGCTTCACTGAGATAAAATTATGGGATGGAAAATGCCTCACCTTGATCTCGTGCAATTTAATTAACCTATTTGTTTTAAAAATCCAAGCCGTGTTTATCTACCACACTGACCTGCCTGAATAACCTTTTACACGTGCGAAGAGTTTGAAAGTGAATGCAGGAAATACAATCTTATAAACACTATTCGTCTCTCAAAATAATTTACGGTCGTACACATTTCGCTTGGTCTAGGCGATACTGCAGATCCGCCCAGCATGACCCTTAGAGATATGGTAATTATAAGAAACGGATATTCAAATGGGCAACTAGCTAGGCCTTGAGATGCAGCAATGACGGTACACTGGAAGTTATACGGGGGGGGGGGGGGGGGGGGGGTGTGTGTGTTTGGTGTTAGACATGTGCTCTAGGTATGACCCCTGTGGTTAGTTCTCACGGAACTCATAAAAAAATAAAGCAAGTCAGCTTTAAGGGCGATCTGTCTATACGGCTAAAACGAACGGAGAAGCACAAAGGACGTTGCCGCTCGCAATGTAACGCAGAGGCACACAATTATAGAACAAGGGTATACACAAACTGATAGAGCACTATGGATCTACTGTATGCTCAGGAGTAACTGGTACTTTATGCGAGTACTGAATAGGATCCTGGTAGTGGCTTTCATGTTAAGGCATTTCATCCTGCCAATCCATGAAGAGCGCTGCATGGACGCCTCCGTCTTATCCATGGACGCCGTCAGTGTGTACGCAATCCTGGCCGCCCTATAATGATCAGTACCCGCCGCCATAACCATTAAAGACGTTGCGCCATTAGGCCAGGCTAGGTTGTTAAATATAGCTCAATAGAAGAAACGACAGGAAAAACAATGACATATAATCGTAACCTTATTACACAGTATGCTACGCTTGCTCATTTACCCTGTCTTGGCAAGTTACGAACGTTTGCTCCAGCAGGGCCTCCGAGATTCAAATCCCGTCTACTAATTATCAAGCAGGGGCTAGTTTTATAGGTCCTCTGGTTTAGGCTGTCAATTGTGGCCCCATATAAGGCTTTGTCATTTAAAGACAAAGGGTTTATTAATCCTAACCTACAACATCGAGTGAAATTTAGCTAGACAAACGCTAGTGGAAAAGGCTACAGAAGACAATGATGCTATAGCACAACTAGAATGCCTCTTTATAACTAAGGATGTATTCAGATTTCATTTGATTTTTCCATTTTCTTGCAGTCAAGGCAAACTCACTATTCCGCAGGCAAAGCTTGAACGCAGTTACAGGCGTATAGATGGCGAGACACACAATCATGCGGCTTGACGTTCGTTTGTCATCAATAATACCATCCACTTACCTCATCGAGAGATAAATCCCGATCCTCGTTTCTTTGATTGGGCATGCTCCCATCACAGACCTGAGTACGAAGACGTTTCAACCATCGCTAAGCATGAAAGTCCTTCTTAGTGGCGTACGCTTTTTGCAAACTGATTCCAGAGTTAGGTTCATGTAAACAAGGCTGCTCGTTGTCATGCTAAGGGTTAATAAGTTGGGCCATTGCATAATATAGCGTATTTTGATCTTCCCTATATAGCGAATTGAACCAGGTTCACCTTACTTATATTGGGCTAATATGATATTGTCCGACATGCTGCTGGTACTTACTAGTCGAGTTCCTAAGTTAGAATTTGGCTTTTCTAGCACTCTCTTAATTTGTCAGCAAAGAAAGGGCAACCTAAATCTTCTGAATGGCGCTATGTTATAATAATGAAGCCGCTCTCATCCTAAGGTAGGTCAATTTGTTTATATTTCTTATTTTGACTGGACTCAATGTGTGAAGAAACGTCGGTATAGGCCTTACTTACACAGAGGCTGGAATATCTCGATTTTCAAATATCACGCAGGTGTAGCACAAAAATACCTGACTGTAAGGCCGAGACTTTATTGTTCTTAGTTATGTCTCGTCTCTAGCGTGCAATGAACTATGGTTGACAACATTCATCTCGACAATGGTTTCAGTCCATATAGATCTCCGCGCCACCTTTTTTCATGATAAACAATACGTCAGTTTGCACCCGTAATTATGGTAAAAGACTTATTTCACCGAAGGTTAGCATTGGTCCTAATTCCAACGTCAACTTCTGCGCGCTGCAGCGCGATATTATGTTTGATACACAGGCTTCCGTATCCTCCGAACCTTTTCTAGGCATCTAAATCATATTTAACCAGCGCTCTACACATTAAACATGAAAGAGTCATCTGGTCTCTAACTTCGAAGAGGCTTGGAGTAATATTGGGCGTTTCACCTGAATAATTACCTTGCATGATTCATTACATTCACGGTTGATTTGTAGAAACATATGCTGTTTGGGGCATTTCTGATATGTTCAAACTTCCTAAGTAATAAGGTGTGAAAGGATGCATGACCTGAGGCTGTTTTCTTGTGTGTCATAGACATCCTGATAGAAGCTGTGAAATGTAAATATTACCAAATATTCGGATTTTTATGTTTTCAGGGAAAAATTATATAGTAAACCTTGGCTATGAAATGACGAACAAGTAACGTCCGCCAAAAACATACAGGTCCATCGTTTGGGCTAGACCAAATCGCTTAATTACTTAAACCACATCCAGTAAAAATAAAGAGAAAGGAAAAAGAAGGAACAAAAGATGAGAAAAAGCAGAGCAGCGCGGCGTGCAAAACAGATTGGTGTGGTTATATGCTGATTTAGACATGGGGTCTGAGGCAATACGGTGCTTTCCAAAACTAGGGTAACTCAATATGTCCTGTCTTGTACAGGAGTAATCTCGTGCTTAGATTTTAGCCTTGATAAGGTGGAAGGCATAGGCGATCCATGCGCTGACAATGCTGAACTAACATGTGATCTGTACTGTCGCTCAATACTACACAGCAAAAGGCGCAACCATTTTGCCTTACCAAATGGTGACATAAAGCTACAAGAGTGGGTAGCACGTGGTTTTTTTTTTTCCGAAGTTTTCAGTTATCGAAGCGTTCTTCCATGGATTAGTATCCAGTAGCTGTCGGGCACTGACTCGAATATGAAAGCATGGCAGCTCATTTATGCAAATTGCGTATTAAGTGTGGGCTTGGGATTCCGCCCACCAGGTGTACAGCAAAGCACTAATGGATTGTGGCTTCCTGTAACATGTGGTAGTAGAGGTGAGTCAACACAGTGCGGCAAATTTTAGTTTACGCTACAAATGTTTGGTGTTAATTTTATCTATTGCCGCACAACTCATCTCGCATGTCCGATTGTCAGAGCCTCAGCGTTGTTTGAGCCGTGGATCATACCAAAGGATAATCTGGCACGGTCTTTTTGGCATAACTGTGTAGAAGCTTTATAGCTTTTAAGTCAGTGGAGCAAGTATTTAAAGTTCTCCATATGAAGTGTCATTTTTGTTCGCAGCATTTATGAATATCAACTTT